TCACTGCCGGTGAACAACTGCATTGTTTGGTAGCCCAGGCCGGTTTTGATTACTTCCTCAATCTAAGGAATACGCTTTTACATTTTTACTGTGCTTGTGGGAGGGTCGCGGCTGCACACCAACTGTTTGATGAATTGCCTCATATAAAAGATGCTGTTTCTTTCAATGCCCTGATGGGAGGCTATCTCCGGACCTCACAGCCGGCGAAAGTTCTCGCCTTTCTAAGAAATTTTAGCATGGAAGTCAGTCCAGCCACCATTGTCAGCGCTTTCTCAGCAGTTACAGACAGTAATTACAATGGCGAGCCCCTCCATGGCCACTGCGTCAAAACTGGGCTTACATCCGAGCCTAAGGTGGCGACTGCGGTAGCAACGATGTATGTGAAGAACGGAATGATGGAACCTGCACGGCAGACGTTCGACGAAATGACGCGTAGAGATGTTGTCCTTTATAATTGCATCATAGATGGGTACGCTAAAAAAGCTTCCTTGGATGACTGCTTGGTTCTATTGCAGAAGATGAGGGAAGACGGAGTTAAATCAAATGCAGCCACGCTTCTAGGACTACTATCATCCTGTGCTTCCTCTGGTGCTTTAGGTTTTGGGCGGCATATCCACGACTACGCAAAGGAGGAGAAGTTGGAAATCCAAGCTTCTCTGGGGACCGCTCTGTTGGATATGTATGCGAAGAATGGATGTCTGGAGGAAGCAATTTCAGTTTTCAACCAAATGAAGGATAGAGATGTGAAGGCATGGACAGCCATGATGATGGGATTTGCAGTTCATGGCAGGTCAGAGGAGGCTCTGCGGCTGTTTGATGAAATGGAGGAGAGTGGGATGAGGCCTAATGAGGTGACCTTACTTGCTGTTCTCTCTGCTTGCAGCCATGGGGGATTTGTGGGCTTAGGAAAAGATTACTTCAAGAAAATTGTTTTTGAATACAGGGTAAGCCCTGGGATTAAGCATTATGGATGCGTTATTGACTTGTTGGGCAGGGCTGGATTGCTGCGAGAAGCTTATGAGCTGGTGAAAAGCCTGCCTAATGGAGGAGATGCCATGGCTTGGCGAGCTTTGCTTGCTGCATCCAGGGTTCATGGAGAGATAGGGATAGGGAAGCTGGCCAGAGAAGTTTTGGCAGCCATGGGTGAGGACCACCCAAGTGATAATATTCTTCTGTTGGGCAGCTATGCCTTTGCAGGGAGATGTGCAGAAGCTAAAGAAGTCATGGATTTGGAGGTGGAGGGGGGAGAGATAATAAGGAAGGAGGCAGGACGCAGCTCCGTTGAGATGGTAGGTGGGTAGAGTTGAAGAAGAAAAAGTTTTGAGGAAATGTGCAGAGGAGCTGGAGCCTGAATTTGGGACGGAGAATCGAGGTCAGATTATTTTGAATTGATTTATTTGTTGATATACAATAGATTAATCATGTTTATAATTCATTAATTTGAAAAACAAAATGTATAATTAATTTAATTTTGTTTGGTTTTCTTTCTTCCACATGACCTATGTTTGAAGAATTGCAGCCTAACTTTTAACCGTTCTGGTTATTGTGCTCGAATGTATAGTATATTGGTTTGAGATACAGTAAATAATCATAATATGCAAGCTTCCAGTACTCACCCTGCAACCAAAAAAGAAAAAAAGTTCTAGCTTTTTTCTTGAGAAATTGATTGAGCTAAGATTTGTCTCATAAGTTGATCCTTAAAACAAAGATTTGCACAGAAAGTGTTAGTTCAGTGAATTTAAAGCTAGAATTCAAGGGCCATGTGGGATTCATGATCTTAAGGAAATGTTTAAATTGACGTCCACATAGTGGTTGTGTCTAATTATATATTTCTAAATTATAATTATAAATTTCTAAACTATAACTTTACAACAAATATTTTTAATTTATTTTCTAACTGCACAAAATTCAACATCTGAATGTAGAAGACAAATGAGAAGTCATAAAAAAATTCTTTTGATAAATCCATAAATATTCATGCAATATTTGAATAAAATATTTAAAAAATAAATTCGGAATAATTTAAAGTAAATTTAACAAATTTCTAGTCGAAGCATATGTTCTGATGAGATAGCCGTTCAATCCATCGTTGAGTCTTTGCCATCACCGAATCACCATTGCCCGACTACCACCATTTCCATCATTAGACCACTATTGTCTTCATCGCACCGTTGCGATCGTCGAACCACCGTTATGCAGCCACCATCATCATTGTTGTCAGACCACTACTGTTTGGCCGCCGCCGCTGCTAGTCTATTGTTGTCCGCCCACCATCGTTGTTGCTGTCAGACCACTATCATCATGTCAAAGCCTCTTCCTAACCTCTGCTCCTCGACCACCATTATTGCCGCAGTCTGACAACCACAGTTAGGTTGCTACTATCGAGGACTTTGGCATCATATTTTCTAACACACAACTTCTACCATCATACTTTATTTACAGTAGTCAGTTTTCCATCACTTTCCTGATGTATTTTGCCCTCTAGCAGAACTCACGTTAATAACCCCTCATTTGTAATATTGATTATGACTATCAAGGGTTTGTAATGTCTTGTATCTTACATTGACACAGTGAAATCATTTCGACTAGGCTAGAACTCACATTAATAACCCCACATGGTTTTTACTATTTTGGGTTTTCCATATAAAAACTGTTATTCCCTCTACCAGCTCTTCTTTTATCTTTGTGTGTGTTGAATCTTCCTACACTAGAACCTTAATATATCCTTTTGTTGCTGTAAAATTATTGGCACAATGTATACACACAGGCACGCACCCACCCACACAAGCCCGCGAGCGCACACACACAGAGATATATATATATATATATAT